AGTGTTTGAAAAAAAAGAAAAAGCTACACAATCAGTGTAAATGATAAAACAGTCTTCAATATTGATAGAGTGAATAAAAGATCACTGTAATAGTATAGATAACAAACCCATATATATTTTGCATATGACTATACTATGAAGGATTTATGGTGGTACTACAAATCAGTAAAAAAGGATGGATTATAAATTCAATATCATTTTCTGAATAAAAATAAATACCTTATATAATATACAAAAATAAATTACAGGTGTATTGAACATTTAAATGTAAAATATAAATAAGATTATTAGAAGAAAACAATGTTGATGGAAGGATTTTTCTCAGCATGATGTGAAATCAGAAGCCATAAAAGACAAGACTGACAAATTTGACTATACTGAAAAAAATACCTCCATAAATCAAGAGTTAAAGGATCAACAGCATACTAGGAGGGCATATGTGAGGCCAGTATAATAAGGAATCACCAATAATAATAAGTCAATGTGAAAATGTCAAATAACCCCAACCTAACAGAAAAATAGGGAAAGAACATTCATATACAATTAATGGAAAAATGGTAAAGTAATACGTGAAAAGATACTTCACTAATGAGCAAAAAGCTGCAAATTAAAATAAGGAATGTTTTGTCCAATTGACAAAGATTATAAAGATTAATGGTATCTTGTTGGTGAGGGTATATTTAGTGATGATGTAATAGTGATGATGTAGTAGTGATTTCTTTGACCCAGAAATTCTGTGTCTAACAATTTATTCTGCAGATTTATTCACATAAGTAAAAACACATACAAGGATATATTTTCTACAATACTGCTTATAAGGATATAAGTTCTACTAAAGTAAGGGCTTGCTGTGTTCACCACTGAATCCTCATGCCGGGAAGAGTACCTAGTATGTAGTAGGTGGTTCAAAAGATAAGTATTAAATGAATGAAAGAATGATGAAAAAACTGGAAATAATTTATTGAAAAGGCTAAAGAAGTTCACTGTTTAAACAGCCTGTAAGCTGTAGTCTTCTGTGTGTGTATAAGAGACATAAAATATATATTTAATTTATACATACACAATTATAAAAAACGTATATAAAATTTTAATTCCTTTCAAAAAAGAGTCTGAAAAGAAACACAAAAACTATTAATTGGTACATAGTTCCCTCTAAGAATTGAGTTCTGAGGGAGAAGAAGTCACACATTTTTTTAATTGTATTTTTGTACTG